TATACTCTCTCTTCAGTTCTGTCCCTCACAGTCCTCGCCTCCCTTCAAGGTTCAGGTCTAACTCCCGTCACTTCCCCTCCTCATTCCTCCCCTCTCCTCCTCTCTCTTCTCTCCTACCCTCTTCTCCTCCATCAAACTCTGTGAAACCTTCCCTGAAATACACAAGTTATAAGAGAATGAAACCTGCATGTTTAGGTCAGACCATCAATATGTAATTCATTTATCACCAATTCATTTATCACCACTTAAATTGTGGGTTATCCAGATTTTCTCACTAAACATGCCCAAATGAAATAAAGTAAACCAAAGCTAAAATAGAATATTGGCTAAATAAATGTAAAAATCAAACCAGCATCTTAAAAAGTCATAGTTGACTCACAGGCATAAAAGAGGACAGATTTTTGTAAACATTTTTAACCTGGTGGCAAATAAAAGACAACTATGGCCAACAATTATCTTATTGGGGTAAATTCCATTTGATACAAATATGAAATTGCAGTCAGACGTTAGAGACTTTTAGGTTTAAACTTAACAATAGTAACTTGTGTTTCTGTCATTGATGGAAGAAAAAAAATACATGATGTAACTTGAAGGGAAAGGGGAAATCTCCGTGATAAATTTTCATATACTTTTTTAAAAAGCCTCCTTTAGAAACTGGACCACGTCATTTCATTATCCAGCCTTAGCAAATGCAGCTGTTAATAAAATCCTGAAGCATAAAAAAAAATCTAAAAAAAAAAATCCACAAGTTATGAGAGCTCCCTCAATTTTCCCAGAATTTCCCAATTCTACTGGAGAAGGAAATGGCAAACCACCCCAGTATCTCTGCCAAGAAAATCTCAAATTGGATCACAAAGAGTCGGACACAACTGAAAAATGACTGAACAACACCAAGTTCAGTTGTATGTGATATTTATTCAACCAAACAACAGGCCCAGCACTGGGTGCTGAGGACCCACGCACAACAAACACAATACCTACAAACATGGAGCTAGGCACCATGAACGCTGAGGACAAGCCCTGCCTTTGAGGGGCTTACAAACTAAAGGGTGAGAAGGGTCCGAAGTGAAGGAACAGGACAGATGATGCCCCAAGGTATCATGAACAACTGGGGAAATAATTTGGGCCATGAGTTCAGACCATGGAAAGTTCATTTTTAGCTTAGAGAGGCCAGAAGAAGCTTCATGTAGGTGAAAGACCAAAGCCGGGCCTGCAAGAAAGTCCAGGATCTGGAAGGCAAGAGGAAACAGTGGGAGCCAAATAGACTGGAGGTCCACAACAGTCCTTCCGATTGGAAAGGTAAAAGCCTAAGTCATGCTCACAGGACACAGTCTGTCCAAATCACAGGTCCTTAGAGCAGAGGCGACCTTACCTATCATCTGATCCAATGCCTTCATTTTTCAGATCTGAGACCCAGACCTAAGTGACTTTACTTGCCCAAGATCACACAGCTAACAATTCTCACAAACTTAGAACAAAAGAGTCGGAGGCATCTCTGGGATCATCTAGCTATGAAACTCAGTTCTTCTGAGCAATCCAAGGCCCTTTCTTTCACAGGAGGCTGGGAAGACAAGTGTAGGAGCCTGATGGGGAGATGTTTTGAATGCAACGCCAAACTATATCCTGAAACAACTGTGCCCCACTTCTTTGAAAACTGGGGATCCACATATGGAACATAAGCTCATCAGAAAATCCAATTTCCCAGAACAGCGTCTTCCTTAAAGTTATATGTCAGGGCACCGCCATAAGGCAGGGGCTGTGGTTTACCGGAGTTGGAATCCAAAGACCTGCTTTTAGTACTTCCTAGCAGTATGACTTTGGACAGGTTACTCTACTGAAGCTCACTTGCTTCATCTGTAAAACATGGGGTTGTTAAGCCTGTTAGAAGAAAAGACTGTTGAAAACCTCAAGGGCCCACAGGATTGTGAACCACCAGCTACCATAACATGAACCTCAATAATCTGGAATTTGCTTGATTCCTGTTTAAGGAGCAGATTTTGTTTCGTTGTTTCGTTGAAACAATCTCACCCCAAACACAAGCCTTTAGCATAATCCCTAAAATGCAGCACTGGAGATCACTCCAGGGGGAACCAACAGGTGCAAAACATGTTCATTAAAACCAAAACCTGCTAGAATATCGGCTCTAGGACACCACATTTGCTGCAAACGACGAGAGTCTGAAAAAAGCTGACAGCGGCCTGATTTTCTCCCCTCCCCACCTCGATCCCGTTCCAGAATCTCAAAGTTAAAAGGGGCCGTCTACTCCAACTCCCACCTAAACGGGAATCCCCATGCAGATGATATCCAACATTTGGTTAAGGCCTCCAAGACAGAAGAACCCAACTGCCTCCTGGGGCAGGCCATTCCACTTTTGGAGAGCTCTAAATAAAATTGCACCAAGTTTAAATTTGTTTTTCTGCTGCTTCTACCTGTCGCTCCCAATTCGGCCTTCGGAGACCTGGAAGAGCAGGTCTCTTCCTCTTCCATGCCCCGAGGCTGCCCTAAAGCAGACTAAACGTTTCCTGTGCGTTCCATCCAGTCTTCATGCAGCATGAACACAGGACCCTTCACCAACCTGGTTTCCATCCTCCGGATGCTCTCCATCTTATCAATGTCCTTACTAAAATGTGGAGCCTAGAAGGAACCCAGACTTGGAGATGTGATCAAAACAGGGTCGTGTGAACCTCAGGTTATCACACTCCTCCCTTTATGCAACCAAAGACTGCAATAACATTCTTAGCAACTGGATTCCCAAGATCAGACAAAGTGCTATCAAGCTGTGTGCCCACCATCTTGTATTCATGAAGGTGACTTCCTGAACCCAAGTGTAGGACTTTTTATTCATCCTTCTTAAATTATCTTCTATTTGGCCCACTGTTTCTACCCCATCAAGGTATGTTTAAAACCTGTCCTGATACACACCATCTAGGATTTTCAAATCATGGATAAAAATGTGGAGCCACGTATGGCTAAGGACAGAGCACTTCAGCCCTTCAAGGAAGACTTAATCTATTAAGGTTGGCAAGGAACCAGTAATGATGCTCATTGGATAGGGCCATTTAACTACGTTCAAAGCCACTCAATTATACTACCCAGTGCACACCTCTCCATCTTTTCTACAATAGTATTCAGGATTCTGAAATGCATTGCCAAGAACTATGTTAACTGTGTCTCCAGAGTTCCCTTGATCTACCAATTGAGTAACCTTATAAGAAAAGGCAGAGGGAGAAATGAAGATGGCCTGGCCTGTTCTTTGGTCCATGCAAATCTTTGAACTCAACAATCTTCTCATTACGATAACCATTGGTCTCTTTCTCACAAAATCCAAAGGCTTTTTCAAAGCTCCCAATAAGTCTGACCTTGTCACTTCCTGGGTCAAGGAGTTGAAGTAGGTCTCTGTTACTTCTAGGATCCCCTCTGCTTGGCATTTAACGTCCTTCAAATCTGGCTCCAGCCTACCTTTCCAGGCTAATTTCATTTTATTCCCTACCCCTTTACCCACTTTTTAATCCAACCAAATGACCTTCTCTGTCTTTCCCCCTTCATCACATTCCATCATAGCTCAGGCTTGGAATTTTTCCCTTTCTCATCTCTCCTCTTGAGACCCCCAGCTCCCTTTAAGGTCCATTTCAAATGAAAAGAAGCCATTCCTGATTCCCCAGTTGTTAATTTTGTTCACATCTGCCTGCCTTTACACATCTGTGAACATGCTGCATCTTCCCCCAGAAGAAAGTGAGCTGCCTGAGTAGGAACTGACTGATATTTAGATCCTCAGTTCCTGACATGGAGGAGGTACTCAGCAAATGCTTGATTATTATTAACACTGGTTGACTGAAAGGTAAAACTTGGGCAATTGGCTGTACTTGTGAAATACAAAAGGATTTTCATTGTAATTTCATTGCATTCCTAAATGCTCAGGAATGACCTGTGGGGAACAGGATGTGCCATTTAAGTGACTTTTCCAGATAAGCTTGCCCCTTTAAACATCAAGTTTAAAAAAAAAAAAAAAACTATTTTAAGAGGAAATTTTTCTAAAGTGAATTGCACATTTCTTAAAACAAAACAAAACATAATCTTGGACTTTCCTCCCTTCCCCCCACCAAGGTTAATACTGATGTCCTTAGGGATTATTTCAGGGGTGACTTTTGTTCCTGAATCACCTCAAACTTCTGTGGTCTCTGAATTGTATCCAATTTTTATAGATTTTTCCCCCCTCCCCTCTTCTGCTTTCAGGATGTCAGATGACAGACAGAGTTTCTGTCTTTCGCAGAGGCTTGGCGTCCTTTAATTTTTTAATTCTATCTTTTTAACTGAGTGGGAGCAGAGATTGTTTTATCATTCTCTTTGTGGCCTTGACTGGCCCACGGTGGACACTTAATGCACACTGGCTTCTGAACCAAGTTTTTCTCCCCTCCCCTCATCCCAAACTCCTAAAGTAAATGCTTTATTTCCCCGCATTCTGACTCACTTTGAAGACCCTCCCTCGCCAGTCCGACTTGAAATTCCAGGATTGCTGAGCCAGGGTCTTTTTAAATCACTCTGAAGGTTCCAAGACATGAAGTCGTCTGGCCCACTTCCCCCTCCTCATGATGAAGGGCTCCCCCTACCCAGAGTGGGCACAAGGCGGTGGGGGAGGGGAGGGCCCCGAGGGGAAGGTCCGGCCTTTGCTGTCGGACGTGCTCCAGGCCCTTCCCGGGGGTCAGTTTGACCACACCAGGCTAACGGTGGGAAAGGTCAGACGTGGCCCTGGGCTGCCCTGGGGTCTGGACGCGCCCCTCTCCCGCCTTAGCCTGAGCGGCCCAAGCACCCCGCAGACTCCCGCCTTTGGGGCCCAGAGGCGTGCTAGTTGACTCCTGGAGCCCCGAGTGCCGAAGCCAGAGCCCAATCTGAGGAGCGGCCGGCCGCACCTCCCCCGTCCCTGCAGGCCCGCGCCTCAGTCTCCTCCTCCGGGCAGTGGGTTGGGACTCCCTCCCCCTCCGCCGCCGGCCAGCCCCACTCACCTGGCGCGGGGGACGACGCCCTCCTTCAGGCCGATCCGCCGCTCGCCATGCTGGCCCTGCCGCCACCGTCCCACCCCCCTCCCTCCCCCGGCCCCGGCGGACCTCGTTCACGGCCGCCGCTGCCCCTCAGCCCGGGGGCGCCGCCGCCAGCGCCGCCGTTGGTTTTCAGCCGAACGCCACTTCGGTGGCCACCAACCGGCGCCAGCCGGACCAATGCCGAGGCGCCTTGCTCCTCTAGGCCAGCCCCCGCGGGCCAATCGCGAACGAGCGTGCTGCGGAGTGCGCGGCGCCATGGCGACGAGTGACGCTAGCTTCGCGGTTGCCATGGCACCGGGAGAACGCGCAGGTTCCAGGCCGGACTGGCGGCCCTGGGGAGGCGAGAGGCGGCGCTCTGGGGCTGGAGGCCCCGTCGAGGCTCGGGCCGCACCGAGGCTGCGCCGGGCAGTGCCCGGGGGCCTCCCGGGCCCCGGACCTCCTCGTGCCCCAGGGGGGTCTGCCTGAATCTGCCGCGGCGTCGGAAGCTGCTCTCGCTTGGGCTGAGGGTGGGGGTGATGACCCACCTCCCGGCACGTGCTTCTCCCCAGTCCGACGCGGCTTCTGGTGCTGAGCGGAGCCAGCATCTTCTGCATCCCCGGAGCCTCCGAGGGATGCTACGAGCTCACAAACGTGGCCGCTTCGAGGCGCCTACAGCTTTCCCAGTTGGGGAATGGGCAATTTCATCAGGGCAAGCGCCTACTATTAGCCCGGCGCAGATGCAGCCCCTGTGTCGCCTGATTCCCTACCCTGTACCCCCCCCACCCCCTCATCCTCCATGTGCCAGTGCTTTCTCTAAGAGATCTTAACCGTTTTTGTTTTATGGACCTCTTTGGCTATTTGGTGAAGCCTATGGACCACCTTCTCTAAAGTTTTCAAATGCAGATAATATAATACATAGGATTACAAAGGAAACCAATTCTGTCGAAATACAGCTATCATTTTTTTTTAAAGCCAAATTCAGGAACCGGAGATTCCTAACTCTTGTTCTAAGGCTCCCTCCCTTCCATCTACTCTATAACTATTTACATACATGTGATCTCCCCAGTTCTTGGAAGGCAGGGATTGGTTTTGTTTTCTTTGTATCTGTTGGGTTAGCACAGTGCCTGGCACATGCTAATCTTTTAGTAAGTCTTACTAATTGACGAGTGGGAAGCCATCACCCTGCTACCAACCCAGTGCTGAGTTTCTGAACTTAGGTTATTTAGTCCCTGGATGAGGGACACAGTTATCCCACACTCTTCTGTTTTCCAATTTGTGCACCATCTTTGAAGAATCCAGGTCAGACCAGGAGGCAGCTTAAAGGGGAGGAGCTTGGAGCAATGTTTCACATACAACACTGAAAAAATTGTAGTGGGATGGATACAGAAAATTTTCCTGGAAACTCTGTGAAACTTACTCTAGAACACTTACTGTTCTCACTTTTCTTGCACGCTTTAAAAGCTCAGGTGGTCTCCATTTACAATACTAGTGCCTCTCTTTCTCTGACTTGGTTTGGTATGCTATGGTGTAGCAGGTAAAAGGCAAGGATTGGACTTTGGCATGTTAATAAGTTCTCCAACAGCTTACAGGGAAGCCAAGGAGCTAGGACGTATCCATAGGAAATAGTCTAAGGAATGGCAAAGCTCCATTCTATCAGAGAGATCACTTAGAGGGAGGGCCAGTTAGTACTAGGCTCTGAAGGGCTTAGATAGAAGCAGATGCAGAGAGGCCTTCCAGAAAGAGTGCACTCTAAGCGGGCAGCAGGTGAGAAGGCATAGCAGCCAATATAAGCAAGCTTGCACATGCCTCAGTATTTGGCAAAAAGGTCCAAAATAACCTTCCTGATTAAGAACATCTTGATGCCCAAATTTGAAAAAACATAAAGAACCAACCCCCTCCCTCAATCAGTGACCTGATTCTTAATGAAATCTCAACCTTATGACAGGTCAAATTAAAAGTTATGATGAAATCCTTATGCTCTTGAATCCTGCCTGACCTGCAACTTCTAAGTAAACCCAAATAAACCCAAACCTGGAGGCTAACAGATAGTAATGCTTCGAAGTCATAAAACTAAGAAAAGGTCTCACAGCAAAAGTTCTAAGTGAACTACTTAGGCTCTGGGGTGGTGGAAAACCAAATAGGAATCTTTGGGGGCTTCCATTCAACTCCCATCTCCCTACCAAAGGAAGAAGGCCTCTGGAGGAAAGGTGGTGGTGCCTTTCCCTACATCTATTCTTCATCTATCTCCTGGTTCCTCCTTTCTAAATTCATTTGGGGGAAGGGGAGAAAATCCATATTCATTTTCCTTCACTAGCGTTTTTGCTCATCCTCCAAATCCCATGCTCATAATGGATTTCCTAAAGCCCGAATTAAAATACAAATTAAGAAAAAACGACACTCAACAAAATAGTTCAGTAGACTTTTATTGCTTTTGTCAAATTCAGTAACATTTCAAAAAATAGTTTTCTTCTAATAATTATAAAACAAATCTGAAAGGCAGGATCTTTCACATTATAGACATGTTGGAGAGACGTGTACTTCATACAAACAAAATATCAGTTCTACATTTAGAATAAGATTTACCTTGCATTGGATTTTATTACAAAAGAAAAAATGCTATTATAATTATAAAAGTCATAAAAAATTTGAACCGTACTGTGTAATTACACATTACCAAATAGTATATAAATGAACACTAAAATTCAATTTCTGTTCACTTAAATGTGCTGAACATTAGAAGACACCCCCCCACACACACACATACACACACACACACACAAATCATATACAATGTATCAACAAAAGAAAAACAGGTACAAATACCAAGTGAATCAGTTTTAATAAATTTGATTTAAAAAAAAAAGGAAACAACTAAGTGTTTAACACATTACTCCAAGTCAGCTTAGAATGTCAGAATGTGCTAATTTAATAAAAGAATCTTTATCCCATTCAAACTAATGGTTTTCCTATAACTGACACTTATTTTAAAGGTTATCAAATAAAAGCACTTTATATTAAAATATCACTAGACAATTTTTTTGCATTTAGAACACTATTCCCGACTCCAAATGTCCCTGAAGTCTTAAATTTACTTTCTAGAAAATAAATTATTGTTGGTATAAAACAAAAGATATCTTTCACATTTGTACTGCATAAGATGTGATCTACATGAGTAATTTAAAATGTTAAATTAACTAACATAAAAAGAGAATTAGAATCATCCTGGTATTAATGACCTAAACATGTGATATCTGTGCATTTAAAAACTATCACCATTTAAATTGCTTAGCACATTTACAGAACTTATGTACACAATATAACTCCCTTTAAAGTTGCAAGCTCTCATATTATACCCTCAATTTAACAGAACTTTGAACCTGCCCCATGAAAGGGCAAAAGTTACCGCATATACATATGAATGCATTTTGGAGCTTGAGGAAATGTTTGGCTAATTGAATTGGCTGATATTTTTCACTGATACAGAAATATACTTTTTAAAATACCTGCATTAGTGTATTTAAATTAAGTCCTACAAATTTTGCAAAGAATTGGCAAGTATGAACATTTTGAATGCCATTGCTTTTTTCTTCCTTAAAAACATACAAAAAAAAAAAAAACACCAATAGTTTAAAAGACCAGAACTATGTCGCACCCCCCCAAAAAAGGGGGGGGGGGGGGGGGATGAACGATTGACTTCAGCATATCTACTAAAACTAAAATACAGAATCGTCCTTTTATGATGAGAAAGTTTGTATGGTTAATTAAGAATGAAAGACTGTTCAGAAGATAGTTAAACCTCAGTTGTTCAAAATCTGGTCTCATCATATTCTACATCTATGAAGAAAGAATCGAGGGAAGTGAGAGGAATGTCCTGAGGTGGCTCGAGCAGCCAGGTATAGTCAGTAGCAAAAAGCTCCATCCCTGGCAACCAATGGCATCAACAAAGTGCTGGATTATTTCTTTTCCTTTATTTTCAAAATGGACTACAGATTGGCTTACTTGTTTTGCACCCTGAGGTAAATCAGTGCGTAGTAATTACTACTGCTCATTTACACCCATTAAGGCAACATTTTTATCTACACAAACCAAGTCTTGTCCTTCACTGCCTTAGAATGCATATTCTGTCCATGATTTTTCTTTTTAAAACAGTGAAGGAAATAACATTTAAAATAAAGTAAATTAAGTAGTAAATTACTTAAACATGAGTTACCAGTGGTCTTTTATAGAGTACTCGTATCAGGTCATATTATTTGTCAAAGTAATTGAGACGAAGCAGAAAATAACAACTATGAAGAACATGGAAAAATGATTTTGAATGTAAAGTGTTTTGAAATTCATGGTTTTTCTGGCACAAGGTAATTACTTTACATAATTAAACAAAATCACTAAAACACTATGATCCCAGGGTACTTTTCCCTTTAAATTTAAAAATAACCTCCAGTAAAATGGCCTGGATTACGAACCCTTTGGTGTCCCGTGTCCAAGTTCAGAAGGCTATGAAGAAATCCTAGCACCCAACACAAGCTGTTTAAAAAGTTTTAAGATGAATAGCAAATATTTGGGTCTCTGTAAATGATTATACAGTTGAAAATAAAGAGGAATTATTTAAATGGAAGCACAGTGAGTTACAAGCACCATGGATAATGTTCTGTGAATCAATTGATGGTAGAGTAATAAGCACTCTTCCCTCATTCAGGAGGACCAAAAAAGATATGAGCTAATGCTGGCAATCTGGCTTTCTAAAAAAAGGAAGCTACATTTCTAACCTTTCATTTGAGGCAGAAATTATCCTTCTTATGATTTTTCTGTGTTAACTAAAAACAGATAGCACACAGAAGAAAATGGCTAAATAATAAAAGAGACACATTTTTGTTTGTGCATTAAATAGCAGTCAACCAACAAGCTTTGGATAGTCTGAAACATACTTTTACTCTTGGTTCCAAAAATCACTGTGGGTTCCAATTCATACAGCACTTTTCTGATGTGCTGCAAGTTCTATCCTCCATACTCCACCTTCCTTATAAAGAAATCTCAGACTATCAGATTGAGTTTGATTTTTGTGTCACTGCCACCATTTTATATCTTTCAATACTAACTTAAAACATGTTTGGTTTTTGTGAATTGTCCTCTTGCCAAATCAGCTGCGCAACCCCATTCATCCAGTCCTACAGGTTTAGTAACAACAATATTTATTCATTTCATGTTAGGAGTTAACTCCAAACAAAGATTATATAAAAGATGACCAAGAAGATTTACTACGTTGGATAAAAAGGAACTTAAAAAGACAAAGAAAAAAAAAGACTAGTAATCCAAATCATAAGTAGGTATGTCTTCAATAGTCTCAGCTTTACATAAAATGTTTAATTTCCTTCAAAACACTAACATGGCAGTGTTTAATATCAAATCTGCGAAATCTGTTAACTGTATTCTTTCAGGGAATTAATCATAAATTTAAGAGAGCCCCAACTATTTACATTACCACATTTACTCTACTGTATATGCATTACCTTAAATTTTTGTACAGAATTTTATCTTTACACCAATTAAAATAAATAAAATGTTTAGAAACAAAACCAAGGTTAGCACTGTATTAAATATGTTCTGTACAGTGGAAAGAATGGAAATGTAAACAAAGAATCCAAGGTAATTCTTAAGAGCCCATAAAGTAATACTGATCATAAACCCATTCCAGAATTCTGACTCCTGATTATTTAATCACACTGCTTTTTAAATGAAAAATAATCAAGAATTGAACCTGATACTAAATTAAAACATTCTAAAAAACTGAGAGCAAAAAACGCTTTATGGGATGAGAGAACATGTCTTTTATACTTTTTCCTAACTTTGACATACAAAGAAGAGAACAGCTAACAGGTATATGATGCTCTACTGTAATCACAAGGATTCATGAAAAAAAAAAAAAGACTGCCGTAAAGCCTCATATGTTTCAAACTACCGAAAATAGTTGTTTTAGAGTGTCTAAAATGATCACTGTGAGTAGACAGAGTAGCTAACACTGGAATGGGGTAAAAGCATATTTTAAAATCACCTACACTTTTACTTGAGTATTATACTAGAAAACAGAGGATGGATTTTTTGTTGCTGTTATTGTTCTTTATATCTTAAAAAAAGTGAAGGTCATAAATATAAATGTTCTAATAAATATTTCACATTTACCTCTATGGCTAAAAATCCATCTCTGGGGAATATCAACATGGCCACCTGCATAAAGAACTCCACAAAACCAGAGGAAAACCAAGATGCCATTTGTCATCTAACAGGCATGCTATGTTTTGTTTCATAAAAACCAACAAAAAAACTTCACTTTTTTCCATGAAACTCAAAACAGTAATTGGAGAAAAGGTGAAATTTTTAAATAACTCAGGTTAAAATTCACAGAGAACTCTCAATAATAAATATACGGACAAATATAAACTAAGGTGGATTAACTTTTGGTACACATACAGATTTTTAAGAAAAAAAATACACTTATGCTTTTCCCACATCTTCCTATTTCAAAACTGAAAAATAATTTTTCTAACAGAATAAATATTCAAAGGATAATTAATAACTATGTACCTTACTCACAAAAGACCCACCTCATCATATATATACAGTCATTACTGTGCTCATAACATATAAGTCAAACACTTTCAAAAGTACGGAGTCATACTTTGGTGGTATGGCAGCCAAAAACAGTCTATACAGACAGACAACACACACATACACAACATAATTCTTCTTGGTTTAGTTCTATAATGAAGTTTCAGCATCCACATATTTCCTTGTAGGTTCATCTTCGAGATTTATTTTCACACTCACTGGTTTTTCTGGGCTATTTGAAACAAAAATAATGAAGGGTTTAAAAATAGAAACAGGGCAAATTTTTAAAAAGGTGACTCCTAAGCTATCAACAATCCTTCATAAAATGTAAAGTTATTTTTGGATGGGAAACATTCAACAACTTGAGGCTGCCATTATCGCTGTGAACTAATGACTTTGGTTATTATTGTAGTACTGGTTTGAGGCTAATTTAGTAACAGTAAATCTTAAGTTGAAAAGAATATTATTAGGCTATTATTATTCCTGAATTGAATCTCTATTATCGTGTATATATGGACTGACCAGCACGAAGGAATTAATTTATTATTTTTAAAGAGTAAAAAAAAGTTTACAACTAATTTTTTTTATCTGCCTGGGAAGGAACCCCTCCAAAATCCTTCAATATACAAACAAGCAGGCTTGATTAATAATTTTTGTTAGATTTCTGTACTCAGTAATATTTAACTGACTGAATGTTAATCAATCTTTTAAAAACTGAATCTCTGTCCTAAATGTTCAAAAAGTTATTAATTAAAAGATTCAGAATATTATATTACTAATGAATCATAGTTGGAAGAATTCTGAAAATATAGTATAATAGGTAAAAAAGAATAATAATTTTCACAAATTCAATTCAACCTGGCAAGTACTGTGCACAGTAAGCACATATATGCTATACTTTTAAGGCATAGAAAACCAAGTTTTAGAAGTGTCCAAAGTGCACCACCTTGTGTAATATGGACTGAAGTATAACACACATAAAAAATCCAAATAGTGCAGACATGTTGGGACACTGCTCTCACATACATGTAAGCAGTACAACACATATTTACAAGGTACCATGCTGGGGAAAATGACTTGCCAACTCCAATTATAAAAAACATCAGACAACACTCCGTATGCTTTGTTACCAAAAATGTCCCACTCCCCAAAAAAGTGAAACTTTGATGAGAGGCACACCTGGATGTGATCAAAGGTAAATGTAGGATCTCAAATATTTAAAAATGTATAAAGGAAGACAAGAAAGAATTCCCCAGTACCAGGATTTGGTTATCTTTTACAAGTAAATGTGCACTTACCTAGGGGGTGTCCAAACGGGGCCAAAATGTTGACTGGAGGATGAGAGGAAAGGTGAAGAAGGAAGGATGAGCTGTAAAGAGCTAAGAGGCAAGTGAGTTCAGTGGGGGATTCAGAAAAGAGAGCAGGAATGAGGGATGAGCTGGGACAAACAGTCCCCTACAAGAGACTCAGGAGCACAGACAGGGAAAAGGTGAAAACGAAAGCAATAAGTATGTAACTAGAAGGAAAGGAACTCAGGATATGCTGGCCCAGGCAAGCCAGCCAAGTAAAACTGGGTAAAGAGGGAAAATCTCCAAAGTCTAGGCAGCTACTTCCTGTGGGCAAAGCCAAGACAGAAATCCACTAGGCTAACAGGTCAAAGCAGCCGCCGTAAGGGCAGTTGTGACCTCCCATGAAAGAGGGCTTAGAAAAGCAAAGACTCTACTTCTCCGGGGGCCCAAAGGCCTGTAAATGAGATTTCAGCCAAGAACTGCAAGTGGAGGGAGAGAGAGGCCAGCAAGAACCATGACCCCAGGGACTAGAGAAGCCTCCCACTAGAAAGGGAGAACGCAGGGGATGTTGTAACTAGGTGCCACTGAACAGTATGAGAACATACTCCTGGCACGTACCTCAGCGGATATCAGACTACAGTGGACAAGGAGCTATTGCCAGAAAAGAAAATACCTTAAATTGAGTCACCAAGGTTCTAGAGACTCCCCCTTTCTTTGCCCCTGGGGTGGTAATACCAGAAAGTGATCTAAAGAAGCAGGAATGAGCACACGGAAGAGTCAGAGAGAGCCCATTATAGCACAATGGCCCAAAGAGTGTGTGTGAGTGTGTGTGTGTGAGAAACAGAGAGAGAGAGAGAGAGAGAGAGAGAGAGAGAGAGAGAGAGAGTGTGTGTGTGTGTGTGTGTGTGTGTGACACTGGAGTCAAAGGCAAAATGCTACATCAGAACACAGGCAAGGAGATGATCATAGCTACCTCATGCTTGGCCTGGATGCCTTGGTGCTCTCGGTGCTCATGGCAAGGGCTCTCCATTGGGCGGTTTTGGCCATTTCATCTGATATGTTAACAACTGAAGGATCAACACTGGAGAACAAACACACTTCTTGGTTAGCATATGGTACCCAGCAAAGCGCAAATGCTGTCACCCAAACTATCTACGATGTTCACAAGGAAAAATTCACCAATGAACTTAAAAGGCCTACAACATTATTCTAAAACTATGCATAAAAGCTCACAATTATCTTATAGGATATCAAAACCCAGATAGTATGTTTCTAAATATGAAAAATATTGCAGGTTGTCTTCTCACCTGCTTGGGCTACCCTTGAGGCAACTCGTTCAATGGCAGGCACCACAACTAAGGAAGGACAGTAATAAACCAGAATGTGTCCAGGAGGACAGACAATCAAGGTGGTGAATCTAGGGCCTCAAGTCAATGCCATTTAAGAATCATTTGGAGAAAATGGGGAAGGGAAGAAAGAAGGATTATAGCCATCTTCAAGAATTTAGAAGTCATGTGTAAGATTAACTACACTTGCTCTGCTATCTCAAGGGGCAGAAGTTGAAAAGAGGCTTGAATTCAGACTTGATAAAGGGGAAAATGTCCTAATATAACAATTCGAGCTATTCCAAAATGAAATGGGCAGCTATGGGAGAAGGGGCATTTAAGCAAAGGTCAGATGGTCACTGTAGTCCTTTCCAATTCTAAAATTTTTGGAATCTATTAAAGACAAGGATAGACTGCACTATTCTAAGACAATATCATCAAATTTCAAATGTTCACTGTCTCTCATGGCTAAGATCAGCATGGAGGGAGCATTGATACAAAATGACATCACAGACTGGATCAAGTATTGAGGTTCACATGGACCCTTCATGAACTCAGAAAGGAGTACAGAGAGTGAGGGAAGATGACCAAAAAATGCACAAAGAGCTAGGAAAAATGTCAGTGCATAACAAGCCACTGTATGTTATCAGTACTACCCTTTGTTGATCCCCTTTTTAGAATCATCATAACCCATGTATTAATTTAAATTTATCTGCATCACAACAAATATGAATATTATAGTATTTTCCCAACAATATTTTGAGAAAATGATTGTGAAATCTTCCATGGTGAGTTTATTTGGAAGAACTACTTCAAGATTTTTAGTACAATTTAGACATCACAAAGGATCTGGAAAAGTAGAATACAAGATAGCTACATACATATATAAATGAAGTTGTCAAAACTGAACCATGAAGTTCACAAAAAGTATGCATTTAATTACACATGTAACAGAAGATGAAAATAATTTGTAATTTCAAGACAAAACAAGCTGCATATATAAATGTTCAAGAGCTAATTCTGAATTCCCTTTTCTAAATTTAGTAATAAAATGGCAGGCCAGTCACAGACACTTATTTAGAAGTCATTCAGAAAGTCAAACTTAGGGCAGCAAGGTGGCACAAAGGATAGAGCACCGGCCGTGGAGTCAGGAGGACCTGAGTTCAAATGTGGCCTCAGACACATAACACTAGCTATATGACTCTGGGCAAGTCACTTAACCTCAACTGCCTTACAGAAAAAAAAAGAAAAAGAAAAAGAAAAGGAAAGTCAAGCTTATTTCTTACAATTTAATAAACATGATGGAAGCAAGACAGTTACAGCTGCAAATATCTGGTTTCACTGTCAGACTCAATGAATAGGTTCAGAGAATTTACAGCCCTACTCTACTTTTGAAAGATAAGCACAAGCAGGTGAAAAAAAATTACATCATCCTCCTTTATAAACTTCTCTTACCCTGAATGAGTGGCTATTTGTTTGAATGGCTACAAATAACAAAATAACTGAAAAATGTTCTTGCTTACAAGATCTGTTAACTCATAAACTGAATTTAGTTCACTGAAATGAAGCACTGAAAAGGTTATTAAGGAAGTATTGTCATAGAAAATTCCCTTCTGCATAGAAATGACTCTGATCGTAAACATCAGGTAAGACAAAAAAAAAAAAAAAGATACTTGACAAAAACGTTTGCCATCAAGACCAGGGAAATGCAGCACAGAGACCTGGTTGTAAAGGGCTTTCCTGTGGCTAGTAACACTGATTGCATCAAGCCAGAAGACATGACAGGGCCTTGCAGAAGAGATCAGTTATAATTCATAGGAGTTTGACCCAGCCGTCTACAGAGAAAAGATAAAGTGGATGACGAAAGTTCACTGCACAGATTACACTACACAGTTGTACAGACAGACACCTAGACAGCATTGTCTATAGGCATGTTTATCTTGGGCAAAGCACAAATGTGCTTTGAATAAGACTTAAACAAGAGGTGGAGAGAGGGCTCCACTAATCTTCAGGAAGTTACTAAGAGAATTCACTCCAAGCTTCCCATGAATTCAAAGGTCCATATTTTAATCAGTGTTTCTGGATACCAGTGAATCACGGGCATAAATAATCTCCAAAGAACTAAAAATGAATATGAGAGGGCAATGGAAAGGGCATGTGAGCAAACACCAATACATAATCAATGTCAAAGAACAAGAGTAAGATGTCATCAAGGAATTATATAATAGGAATAGGAGACTGTTAGGACAGCCAGAGTGCACTGGTACCCAATTGCCTACCGGATGTTTCCTGACAGGTGGTCCCATCGGTATCTCAAACTCAATACATCCAAAATAAATGATAATCTCAGCCCAAATTAGCCTCTCTTCCAAACTCCCATATTTCTGACAAAGGTACAACCATCTATCAATCACCCACTTTTTCAACTTCATTCTCATCCTCCCCTTCTCTGACCACCCACATTCAACCAGTGTTCCTCTTCACCCCATCTCTCATCTGCCCCCTTCTCTCCACACAGTCCCACATCCTAGACTGTGGCAATCACCAATTTAGCTGCTCGTCTCTCTAGGCCATCCTTCGCACAGCAACCAAAGGGGCTTTCCTAACACACAGGTCTAACCATGTTACTCTCCAGTTGCTCCTTACTGTTTATTGAGTAAATCCTAATTCCTCTCACCTTTAAAGCCTTTAATACTCTCACTCTAGTTTCCTTTCCCAGGCTTATTACATGTCACCTCACCCTTCATAAACTCGGTTCCAGCAAAACTGGCCTACAGACTTTCCCTCCATTCATGACATCCCATCTCCCATCTCCATGCTTTTAAAAACACTGTCTGTCCCCCAAGGCCAGGAAAATGCTACTCTCTTACTTCTCCCTCATTTGATGCCTAGCTCTTTTTTTTTTTTTTAGTGAGGCAATCAGGGTTAAGTGACTTGCCCAAGGTCACACAGCTAGTACGTGTCAAGTGCTTGGTCTGAGGCCGGATTTGAACACAGGTACTCCTGACTTCAGGGCCAGGGCTCTATCTACTGCACCATCTAGCTGCCCCTGATGCCTAGCTCCTTTTCAAAGCTCAGTTCAGGTGCCACCTCCAACAAGGAGCCTTTTTTGATCTCCCCAGTTACTTCTTGCTCTTTATCTACCCTCTCCCACCAAATTTACTTTGTATTTACTTATACTTACATGTTGCTCACACTGTCCACCCACCTCACTCCTCACACATACATAGACCCAGTCTTAAAATAAAGTTAAGTTTCATAAGGACAAACATTTTGGGGATATTTTTTGCATGCCAGTGCCTGCCCCATACTCAAATAGATTCATGATCTCATCATTTGGGAGTTTCCTCCAATTAATGCTCATTGCAATCTATCTGTGCCTGCCCATCCAGTGTGATTCATGAGTTTGACACACGGAAGCCACCCAACATGGCGTGTGCCTTCCTTAATTCTCCTGAAAGGATACCAGTAGATCCTTCTGCCTGTCCACTGGCCATTCCTCACTCTTACCATATAAACTGCCTGTGTCTTCCCTTCCTATTATGGGATTCCTGGAGACCATTTTCTCTCTTCCTTAAAATTCATTCCTTCTCAGATGCAGACTGCTTACACAGACCATGCACCTTCCCACTGCCTCTTAGGGGGACTGACATTCATTAATTTTTCATAGAGAGGCACAGTCCAATGCTTCGCTACCACACAGGAATACCAACAGAATGTTGGCTTTGGTAAGATGTGACTTTTAGGAAAGCTGAAAACTGGGAACAAATTTTTACAACCAGGGTCTCCGATAAAGCCTCATTTCCAAAATATATAGAGAACTGAGTCAAACTGATAGGAATACAAGTCATTCCCCAAATGATAAATGGTCAAAGGATATGAACAAGCAGTTTTCAATTGAAGAAATTAAAGCCATCTACAGTCACATGAAAAAACGTTCTAAATCACTATTGATTAGAGAAATGCCAATCAAAACAACTCTGAGGTACCACACCACACATATCAGATTGGTTACCATGATAAAACAGGAAAATTATAAATGCTAGAGAAGATGTGGGTAAATTGGAACACTAATGCATTGCTGGTGGAGTTGTGAATTGATCCAACCATCCTGGAGAATAATTTGGAACTATACCCAAAGGGCTATAAAAATGTGCATACCCAGCAATACCACTTCTAGGTATCTGTATCCCAAAGACATACAAATGGGAAAAGGACTCACATATACAAAAATATTTATAGCAGGGTTTTTGTGGTGGCCAAGAATTGGAAATTGAGGGAATGCTCATCAACTGGGGAATGACTGAACAAGTTGTAGTATATGAATGTAATGGAACACTACTGTGCTACAGAAAATGATGGGCAGGCAGACTTCAGAAAAACTTAGATGAACTAATGCTGAATGAAATGAGCAGAACCAGGAAAACATTGTACACAGTTAACAACCACATCATGTGATAACTAACTTTGATAGATTTAGCTCTTCTCAGCAATACAAGGTTCTAAAACAGCTCCAAAAGGCTCATGACGGAAAATGCTATCCACATCTGAGAAAGAATCACGGAGTCTGAATGCAGATTGAAACATAGTATTTGCTCCTTTTTTGTTTTGTTTCTTCTTTCTCATGGTTCCTCCCATTGGTTCTAATTCTTCTTTACAACATGACTAATGTGAAAATATGTTTAATATGAATGTACATGTAAAGCCTATTATCAGATTGCACGCTGTCTTGGGGAGAGGGGAGGAAAAGCAGGGA